TTTGCATGTTTTTCGAATATGATTAGTTTTAAAAGGATTTCGTTTTACACATTATGAGAGGAAAAGACGTCCCCACTCCTCCTCTTTCGATTGGTGAAAACCGCAGGTCGCTAGCTCTTCCCGTTGTTGAGTTATTCAAGTTACACCAACCCCTCTTTAATTCTGGCGCCGGCATTAGTTATAGAAGTTAAACAACAAAAAGAAGATTTCGTTCCTATCCAGATTGAATTTTATTTCTTCATAGTTCAATCAATACGAAAAACATTACACACAATATTTTGAATGCAGTACAGTTGCCGTTTCTAAACTATTTTATCTTAAACTCACAGAGATTATATTTCAAATTATGAATAAATTTGGTTATTATTAAAGTGATGTGAGATTTCATGAAAAAACTCTAAGATATTTTGAAAACTAAAGATTACTAAATGGGAACATGATGAATTACAGATTCAACTCAAAGGGATTACTAGTATTTTAGAATTGATCTAAAGATATATAAAATCCTTACAATAAGAGCTAGATCACAGGATGTGTGAGTGAGTATGCGTGTAGGTTTTCAGATAAACCACATCCACATACACCATTATTCGCTTGAAAAATAAACTTCTTTCATAATGATCATGTCACAATTAGTCAGTCGTTTTGTAGAAGACTGAATTTTTATATCTTTGAAGTATAATCAAAAGTAGAAAGGATTCGAGTAACAAGATCCTGATGATAATAAAATATTGTTTATACGTTCAAGAAATATAATTCTTCCTTCAACACTTACCTTGTGAATGGATAGTCGATGAAGTACTCGTTGTGTATTCGGATGTTGCAGTTGTTGCACTTGAAGTTGTCGTAATTTTAGTTGTAGTTGTGGAAGTCGTTGTAGTTGTTGTTGTTGTTGTTGTAGTTGTAGTTATTGTTGTTGTAGTTGTTGTTGTTATTGTTGTTGTAGTTGTTGTAATTATTGTTGTTGTAGTAATTATTGTTGTTGTAGTTGTCGTTGTTGTTGTAGTTGTTGTTTTTGTTGTTGTAGATGTTGTAGTTATTGTTGTTGTTGTAGTTGTTGTAGATGTTGTAGTTATTGTTGTTGTTGTAGTTGTTGTGGGTGTTGTTGTGGACGTAATTGCTGTTGTTTCTATATTAAAAACGCAGTCATTAAAATATTCTTCAATACCTTCTCAAAATAGACTACGTAAGACTCCATCTGTTAAATCTATTTTTACTACTTATCTTAGTATTTTCAACGACTCTGTTTAGTCGAAATATAATAGACTTCATACTCCTATGCATATACCTTTTCCAAAGTATGCAGATTATTCGAACCGAGTCGTACGCGGGAAATCAAGATCTAGGCTGAGGATTTTCCATTTGAATAGCTAAAGTACAGAATGTCTTTTTTAACATTATCAGAAACATGTGATTTCTCCAGTTCAGATATTTTGGATGTACACGTGAATGGAGTCTTCTCTTCGCCCAGGCACTACATGCAAGAATAAAAATAATAGACAGTTTTTTCAATTAAAATGAGTAGAGTATTTGTTGATTTATGTTTCGACAAATATCTTATTCTCAAGCATTCGAATGAATGAAAAACATCCTATCAAAAGTTGGAATCACAAATACTATTGAGAGAAAAAAATTGAGAATATTGAATGTCAATACATCCGACTAGTATCATACTTTTTAACGCCAGAAGCTTCAATGAACATCATACTGACATTTTTATAATAATGAGAGAACCCTCCTAGATGTTTGCATTCTATTTTAATGACTGGTTTTTACCTATATACACTACAAACTGTTTCAGTAAAAATACTAGAGGAATCTCAGTTCTTTTTCAAATTGAGTAGAGTTATCGAATTAGCCTATATACTTCAGAGATTTCTGTAGGATTTCGGTTTTGTGAAAATCTATTTTTTCGAACTTTTTTGTGTAACGGCTTTTACCTGAAGATCTTTATAAACAGGAGCGTGGGTAAAGAGTTTCCGAATTTTCAGGCCTCTTATATCAATAATACATGAGCTTTTCAAAAAATACGGGCTTTGCCGTTGTGTATTGTAGCTGCGATAGATGAAGTTTGGAAAGTTCGCATCTCAGAGACATTTGGTCGAGAAAATTTTCACATCCTTTGGACAAGTTATGGTATGCTGGATCTTTATATATAGGTAATTTTCGTAGCTAATTTTTAAAATATCGCTTTTTCTGAAAACTCGGAGTGCAGCGCGGACTCTCTAGAATGTAGACATATTAACAGTTTGATAACTCTTCTAAGTCTCAATAAGAAACTTAATGCCTCTCAAATTTTTACTATAATACTACATAGTATTTTTAGGAATAAAAACAATTATTGAGATTAATTCGAGGAATTCTAAGAATGTTCTCTCATAAATAAATACATTTATGAATAAAAGCTTTGCTCTTACACCGCGGTATTTAATAAAAAAAAAAGCATTTATAAAAATCATATAATTGCATACTCTTAAATGTTAATGATGAAAAAAAAAATCTTCAAAAAAAAGAAACTGTTAGATGACACTTGAAGATAGTAGTGTTGTAGGAATAATTTATACCATTTAAAAGAGAATCCGGCGTCAATCAAGTGTAGGAGATGCAATTCAAAATTCATTCTTTCATTTTAAGACATATTCAAACCAAAAGCTACTGAAACTTCGAAATTCGAAGTTATAGCTAAACATATTGTGTCTTCGAAATATGATACAATATTTAGATGCTAACCCTATACGATCGGAAATAAAACTTTGAAAAGGTATGTTATGAACATGAAATTGACATCGATCGCAACGAGATCTTTCAGTTCATATATTAAAAATTGTCTTACTGACCAGTGAAAAATGCTAAGTTTTCGATAGTGCAATTGTTGCTGCATTTTACAATAAGAGGATTTCAAGCACAATGTTATACATGTTATGAAACTGTCCATTCTACAAGAAACAATTAAAAATCTATGGTGGGCATGCTATATCAAGTTGAGTTCTTGTTTCTGTTTTCTACTCACGACCAAAAACGAAGTATAGATGAGCGTTAATCTTAAACTGATTTCAACATTATGATATAAAGCACAAAAATAAGTATTGTTCAGGCTTTGTCCAATATGAATGAACACATCACATATTGTATTTTTTCTCACTAACTATAGCATAGCGTTCGTTAGGATTTTTTCTTTTCTCTTGTACATATTTATGCAATGTAAATATCGTGCTGAAGTTACACTTCTTGCTGAAGCCTAACTTCGGCAGACAATTTTGTTGAAGTAATATACTTCGACAATAAATTTTTATCGAAGTTATTTTGCAACTGTTAACTAAATATCTTTCATCAACAAGTGAGTATCATGGTGCTGAACCATGCATTGAAACTATACCTTTCAGCTATTAGCAATATTCGTAACTATATTTATGAATATTTATTTTGAAGAATGTCAAATTATTTAGATATAAAGCATTTTTTTTACTAATCTCGTTGAGTTTCCTACTCATTTAGAGTACTTCAAATATTATAAAGGATCGAAAAACGAAAAAATTTTTATGGCATAATCAGTCACAAACTTACAATGGAAGGTCCCGTACTGCTAGTGAAGGAGATTGAACATATTCTGGTTAAAAGAAAGCTCTCACTGAGAAACTAACGAATTTAAAATATGAGCTGCCCATGTAGTACCCGAACAGAGTTATTCAATTTTTATGTTATGCACAATCTGCTCCTGAATCAAAGGTCAAAGATTAAAGGTCAAAGATTAACAATCAAGACCAGCGGCTGATAAATGACTCAAGCTTCTCACTCTTTGGTGTTCGGAGAGCGGAGGATTCATTCATTGGATTATTGTATGAAGAGTTGTATAGTTGGAGCTTGAGCCATTCATCAGCTGCTGGTCTTTATTGTTAATCTTTGACCTTTAAACTTTGACCTTTGACCCAGTAACAGATTGTGCATAACATAAAAATTGAATATCTCTGTTCTGGTACAGCACGGGCAGCTCATATTTTAAATTCGTCAGTTTCTCGGTGAGAGCTTTTATTTAACCCGAATATGTTCAATATCCTTCACTGACAGCACGTAACCTTCCATTATTAGACTGATGGTAAATGAAAAACCCGCTCATCCGTAAGCAGATGTCAATCTTTTCACTTATCAATTCAAATAGAGACAACATAGACATGAGTCGATGTGCTCATAATTTTCGCATTGTATTTCTCATTATATTCTATTACAATTAAGCTTCTCTTACTTCTAAATGATTTGTGAATTCTTCAAAATAAATATATATAAATATAGCTACCAATATTGTTTATGAGCCATTCCACGTAAGCCACGACTGAAGGTGCTCAATCGACATTCCCCGATTTAACTCATTTTCATATATGTGATAGAGACAAGTGCTTGATGAATTTTGGTGAAAGCCGATTCAAAAAATATTGAACCGTTCGATTATTTTCGCATTTTTACTGAAAGCACTATAAAATCAGTATAAACTCACTTCTACGAGGGCCAATTTTAGGTACTCCAAAAAATCATCAAACCATCAACCGTTTGAGCTGAATGTTTTTTATTCAGCAATAACTAACTAAGTTCTACATGCACCATAAATTTCAGCTCGAACGGTTGAGTGGTTGGTATTTTATGGATTCCAAGATTTGAGGAAAAATCAATTTTTTGATCAACTTTCGCTGCTCATATCTCCAGGTTAGAGAATGCTAGAGGCCTAAAATTTTGGACACAAGCATATCTCAATGCTGCCTAACTATCACATAAATTTCAGCTGTCTACATCAAAGTATTCGTGCAGGGTAACTGGAAAAAAAAATCAATTTTTCGTCAAAAAGTCGGTTTTTGACCTCGATTGGTGTGGGTGTGTGGGTGTGAGTGGTGTGGGTGGGTGTGGTGTGGGTGTGGTTGTGTGGGTATGGGTGTGGGTGTGGGTTGGGTGTAGGTGTGTGTGGGTATGGGTATGGGAGTGGGTGGGTGTGGATGTGGGTGGGTATGGGTGTGGGTGGGGTGTGGGTGTGGGTGTGGGTGTGGTTGTGTGGGTATGGGTGTGGGTGTGGGTGTGGGTGTGGGTTGGGTGTAGGTGTGTGTGGGTATCTGTGTGGGTGGGTGTGGGTGTGGGTGTGGGTGTGGGTGTGGGTGTGG